GGGCGGAGCGCCCCGACCGAGACGGTTTCGTGCGAGTGCATAAATTTGCGTGCGTTGCGCATATTTGCATACATTTGCATAGATGCGGCTGTGCTGCCCCGGCAGCCGGCTGGGTGCACTGGCGGAGCCGCCGAGGAGCAGCATCCCCCGGGCCCCCCCGCTCCCTGCCTCTCAGGGGCCACGGGAGACCCGGGGGTCCTCTCGAGGGAAGGGCAGGGGGGCATAAAGGTTGGTCTTGCTATGGTTGCCCGTCTGGGCAGAGGGGCTTCCGCTGAGGGGCAGAGATGGCGCCTTCTTGCTGGGTGTCCTGCCGGTGCGAGGCACCATCCAGGCATTAACCGGGACAGACTTAGGGAGCTGAGGAAGGGACGTCAGCAGAGAGCCTGGCTCAGGCCTCCCCTCCTGGTGGGTGGACGCGCTGATGTGATCCCCGGGCGAGCATGGAGCTGGGCCTCTGCCAGCCATCCAAGGCCCCTGAGGAACACCCGGGAGAATTTCTGGAGAAAACACGGGCAGAGGAAACACTTCAGAGACAAGCACAAGCTTTCCCGGCCTCTTTGGAGATCAGTGAGGAAGCAGGAAAACTCTGTCCTGTCCTTTGCCGCAAGCCCCTCAAGGACAGTTGTGCCCCAAGGCTGTGCCTGAAAGCCCTGCCTGCCGATGGGCTCCTCCTTCTCCAGCCTGGCTCTGCTTTACCTCCATGGTTTTGATCCAACTTCACAAAGCTTTATGAAATGCCTGGTGAGGGGATGGGGAGAGCTTGGAGCACCTCAAAGGGGGTTTATTGGAGTCTCTCTGCGGTGACTCCACTGATGTCTGGCTTTGCTACAATGAATAATGTGTCCATCCTTTCCACCCCCCTCCAAAACACTCGCAGCATCCATCGCCATGCAGAACCAGCCCTGCCTCTGCCAAAACCCTCTGACTTAATGAGTTTTCACTGAAAGGTGCTGTCATCTCTCAGCTTGCTCCGAAAGTTGAAAGCTGGACCTAAATTATCCACCCACAATGGCCTTTCTTTGTGCCTGAGTCACCTGGAAAGTGTCACCTTCACTGATGAAGATGTGTAAAGTGACTGAAAGCAGCAGTACTGCTGTGAAGCCTGTGCCGGTGTCTAAGCAACACTTTTTGAGACTTGCAGAAATGGCTGAGCCAAGCAATCAGAGTGGGTTTAATCAAACTGGTGAGAAAATGTTTTTTTCCACAGAGATGCCCCAGGTTGTGAGTGCTGCTGAATCTGGACAGGATGCTGTGGCGACTAGATAACTCTGGAAATGCCTAAACTCCTCCCCATGGTATAAATGTCCGTTGAGTGACCTCAGAGATCACTAGATAACACAGACCATGCTGATGCAGACAGTCCATCAGAGTGAGAGAGCAATTGGTAGCACTGAGGCATCAAAATTTGAGCCCCAGAAGTTAATTGGTGTGAAAAGGAGCGATGGGATCATCTTTCCGCGTGAAAATCTTTGCCAGAGTGCTCGCTGAAATGCATGCTGGATGCCACACTTCTGACTGGGTGTCTCCTAGCACCCTCCTTCCTTGCACGGCACCGATTAATTCTGGGGTGTTTGTAGCATGAATGCTTTGTAGCAGTGGTTGGAAGCACAAGCATCGGAGCTAGGCAGCGAGCAGTATTTCAGGCTGCTGTGCAAGGCTTGTGTGGTTCACCCAACTTCGGAAGATTTTGTATGACAATCTGGTGGCACCTCGGGGTGTGAAATGATGTGATACTTCTCCAAGAGATGCCTGGATCTGTTTATACACCATTCTGGTAGAGAGCTGAGGGCGAAATGTCCCCGATTCATCATTGCTGCAAATGCATGCTCACAGTGAAAATAACCATTCAGATGCTGTTATGTTGAACAAGCAGGGCAGCAATGACTGACAAGAGAGCTGTGAGTCATTCTGAGCTACACATCTCCACGTACCTCTGATCTGAAAAGCCCAAACAGATGTCTAAGCTTTTTTGAAATGCTTAAGAACATCTGGCTAAATCCAGGGAGCACCAATGGGCTGCGTCTTGTCAGTGCCTAACTGCTCAGCAGCCTGCCAGATGCCGGTAGCAGCAGCCTGCAAGCACACGGCGGAGGCTGAGCTCGCCCTGGCTGGAAGAAGATTCATCCTGAGGCGACCCCTCTCTCAGAGATGTTACCCACATGTCTAAGAAGACCCTGCAAACGTTTTCAGATCACATCAGAAATCACTAGGTTGCAAGCATTGCTCGGGAGACATTTTCACCATCGCTCAGAACAAAGTTGGACCCCGCACCAGCACCCAGAGAGGTACAAAAAGCAAGCAAGGCAAATTTTAGGCTAGTGAGTCAGAATTCAACCATCTCTTGATGGAAGAGTCAGAAAAACAGATCGAAGATACCCCAGGAGCGGAGCCCTGCACACTGCAAGGGAGACCCCTGCTTGCTGCTGCCCATGGAGCCCAGGAGATCAGCCAGCTCTTAGACACCCTTATGTGAGGAGGGGGAGGCAGCACAATGTATTGCAGATGTGCAATGCCTCCATCAAGGGCAGACACTTGCACTAAAAAGCTCTTCATTACAAGTTATTATGAAAGTTGGGGGTTTTTTTAGTGTCCGATACATTTCTGACCAGAGGAGAGGTGTTGCTGCTGGTACAGGAACCACTGTCAGCAGAGCTTGCAGTTACCCAAACAAAGCCTCTCAGACAGCTGTCTTCCAGAAATAAGTTAAAGTCTGTCACACCTAAAAGCATCCAGAGCTGAAAC